GAGAAAATCCTAAGGATAGGTATGTAGTGTATCACTGATTCCCAGCAAACAATTCAATCAGGATTGAAATATTCTTAGTTGCAACAGATCATTAAGCGTTGGAGTGGAGAGAGACAATAAAAGTGGAAAGAAAAGGGGGCAATGAAATGTTGCACACTTGAGCTTCAATGTTTTGATGAAATTCTCACTTCTAATGTCTATTTATGACATTTGGAACAAGTTTAAATTTAGAAGTGCAGTTTTTGCCACTTTCCAGCTTTTCAGGGTTTTTTTTTGTTTCTATTTAGTAACATATTAATATTCAGTAAAGCATTTAACTAAGAAAGCCATGTTATAACTTTTCACTTTAATTTTATCCTGGATAAAAGCTGTCAAATTCCTGAATCTCAGTCTTTGTAACATAGTGTGAATGATGATAAGAAATTTTACACTGCACTGCATTGTTTAAATAATTTGTTCAAGATTACTTGTCTATGATACACAACTGTGTTACTTGAAATTTTTTGGTAGTATCTAATATTTGCCCCTTATTCATAATTAAATAAATAATTAAAATATTATACTAAAAGATAAAACTGATATTGCACAGAAAAACATTGAACTAGTTGGGACCTAAATAACTGTGAGCCAAAAAGATTTTGTCGGACACTTGATTTTCCAATTTTACTTAGCAAGCTCCTTTAAAATTTTCTATAGGAATAGTTTGTCATATGCAATTAACTATAACCCTATAAAGAAACAAACTAAAAAAAACTGGACTTGAATGAGCCTAAGTATTCTGATGTTTAGTCTGCAATCCCAGAGTAATACTTTAAACTATTGAAAAAATGTTTTTTAAAAAAACATATTGTAACTGGATTAGTGGAGACAAGAACCATTTCATTCTTTGAAGAGCAAAATATTAGTATATGTGCTGAAGAAAACATTTTAACTCATTTTTCTCCTTTAGAAAAATAAATTCTCTTTGAATTAGGCTCAGCTCTTCTGTATAGACACTTATTGGAAATAATGACTGTCAACACTATTTATCAGCCACTGATGTATCTTCTACTTTATGGAATTTTGTTCTCCAGGCTTAGCTTTAAATAGACAAACATCTTGGTTTTATATAGCCAAGATTTCCATGTTTTTCCATCCCTTAAGATAAGAAAAAGCAACATAGATTCCTCTAGATCAGGGGTGTCCAACCTTGGCAACTTTAAGACTTGTGGACTTCAACTCCCAGAATTCCTCAGCCAGCAAAGCTGGATGAGGAATTCTGGGAGTTGAAGTCGACAAGTCTTAAAGTTGCCAAGGTTGGACACCCCTGCTCTAGATGTTGAAGTCCCATTCTTCTCAGCCCTTAGCCAATGATGAAGAATGGTGCAGGTTAATTTAACAAACATGAAAGAGATTATCATTGCTCACTCCTGCCTTAACTGGAGCACATTAAAGTGCCTTAGGTCCATTCTTGTCTCATCTCCATCTTTGTACTGGGCCTTAAAAGCTATGGTTATCGAATTATGATCCCTAACCTTTCAGTCCAATCCTTTTTTTTGAAAGCTTCATTTTGAATACTGAATTTGTGAACTTGCCTTTCTTGTGCAATTAAAACATTTGGTTTAGAAACCTATAAAACATCACTTAATTATTTTGCATGTGGCACATTATAAGAAAATTCTTTACACAAATCTGCTTTTATGTTACATCTAAGTTCTGGATCTTTTCACTGTTACAACTAGCAATAAGCTTTTAATGAAAAGGCTTCATGTTTTGGCAAATAATCATTTAGATTTGCTTTAATAAGTAAGCAGATAAAGATAGCCATATGTTCTTGGAATATGGATTGGGAATTTTATTTTATGTTCACAAGAAGTAGAAAGATAAGGGGAAGACATTGTTTGAGTGATATTCTTGGTACTGTCCCATTGGGTAAGTGGAGGTAGCTAGAGGAGGAGTATTGATTGGTTTGTACTGTTCTCTGTTGGTTCTCTGTATCTCAAGAGCTGCAGTTGTGAAGGGTAGGTAGAGGGAGCTATATGGTATTATATGCAACATATGCACATATAATTTATATTCCACCAATTTCAACAAACTCTAGGCAATACATCCAAAAGTATAAATATATTAAACCAGTAATTAAAAGCTGAAAGGATAAATTTAACTGTCCTAATTAAAAATTAATAATCCCAGCTCAGGCTTAATTTTTACCACTTTCTGGAATGTTAAAAGTACACAAGCTAGCAGAATTTCTGTGGCAACATTGTTCTAGAAAGATGGGCTATTACTGAGACAGGATGTTCCCCCAAGGGACCCATAATATTCCTTCCCAACTTGACTGAACAGGACAGGAATATTTTCATTGGAGGAATTAGTCTTCTGTGGCCAGGATCTAATCTGAGCTTTTGAAATGGGAAATTATGCATTTCAACAGTTCCTGTCCTTTGCTGTTTCATGTATTGGTGGAATTATTACTGCTGATTAATTTAATAACTTAGATTATTATGGTGTTGTTTTGTAATTGTTGTTGCAATCCTGCAGTTTCTTTATAAATTTAATGGTGTAGTTCTGTCTGTCAAACAGTATTAGTTCTGCAGCAGTTTCTGTCTTGAGGCTGCTTAAACTATGACTGACCATGAAATATATCTAGGCGAAAAAATAATTCTAGATGACAACATCCCTTTTTCTGTGCATCTGTGAGATAAATATGCAGCAAAGATTATTATCATCAAAAGTTGTTACATAACAAGGTAGAACTAAAGTTTGCATTTTAAAATCTTAATTTAAATATTTGTTAGACGATTCTGCTATTATGCACTTCCTAATGACAAGCTACATGATCATTTTTAAGATAATGTCTAGGCCAACAAATGTGTTTCATAAAGCATGATTTCCTGCTATTATTTTGTATCTCTCAAGATCCAAGCCTGATAGATTAATCTCATTTTAAATATGAAAAATAAGTTTCATTTATTTCTTTTCACAACAGAGAAGCCAAAATGTTTAGATCAACTCTTAAGGGCTATCCATTTGATGTAGTAACACCCACACATGGGCTGTGTCAGATCTCCAAGGGTTTCCCACATTCCCCCTGAAGCACTTCACTCTTTTTACATGGGACTCTGCTTAACAACCGGTGGGATCACTTAACAATCACAACTTGGAGTGCAGGAATTGTGGTCGTTGACTGAAGCAGTCACATGATATTTTGTTTCACCTCTTCACTGAGATTCCAATTGTGGTCCTAAGTTTGTATAACTTACATATAACATGGGAGAGTATATTGATTCTCCCATAATCCTTTAGAAGCTGTATAAGACTGATAGGTGGAATCACAATACAAAATTTCATCTCCATTTTGCTACCAGTCCCCCCCCCCTCTCTTTCTCTGAGAGAGAGGGAGGCAGGGAGAGAGAGAGAGAAACCAGAGAAACAAGGAAACAGGACTATTGGAACAGAGAGGCTTTTACCTTATCTATGGCCATAGATAGGCACTTCAATCTTGTCCGTAACCTCACCCTTCCTTCTATTGAGACTGAGATTAGGATTATAAGGAAGAAATAACCAGAAGCCATTTTAGCATCTGGGCCATTTTAGCCAACCTTAAAACAAAAACTAGTTTTCTGCTCCAACAATCCTGCTAGGTAATTGGGACCAAGTTGGCACCATTTGTTTCTCAGTGGTCAGACCGTTGACTCGTTGAGTACTGAGAAAACAGCTTTGAGGCTCCAAAGTCTCACTGCCTTCACAGAGATCAAAGAAACCAACTGTGATGAATATGAGACTAAGAGAGGTCATTGAAAATAATATTGTATACTTTTCTGTCTTTTTAAAATGTACAACATAAGTGAAACAGAACTACTGAGCTGTTTTAATTGCACGAGTTATTTATAATTATTTTAGCAGGTTTTTTTTTTTGTTATGTAATACACTAAAAATGAATTGCCAAAATCACTTTATGGAATGACTTTTGCATGTCAAATTATTGTGAAGACATCTCACTAAGAATAAATACCTTTCCATAATCTGAAGATATTGCTTTGAATGGAAGGATAGTAATTTAAGTTGAGAAATGTAAGAATTCACATCCTTCATTCTTTGTTTATGTTTATATGTGTGTTTCTGTGTATATACTTACTATCTGCAGAGTTATTTTATTTTAGCCCATGGCTTTACTGCCAACATCAGGGAACATTAGTTTTGTCCCAGATAAGTCTGTAAAATACACATTGCTGCCTATTGAAATGCATTTGTGTTTGCTGTGTTTGAAATATCTCCTGACAAAGTTTTATAAAGTATGCACTGAAAAAAAACATCATATGTTGATGATATTTCTTGTTCCAAAATATTTGTAATAGTTGGGGAGCTGTAAGTAAGTGGTATGATTTTCTTTTTGAATATGGTATGTAGGTCTGTTTCCTGCCCCAAATCACTTAGTCTATAGCAGATTTCTGATGGAACTATTATGCACGTGTAGAATGTATGTTTGAATGTATTTATGTGTGCACGTATGACTGCACAAACTCATGGATGACCACTTGAAAACCACATATATAGTCACTTTCTAATTTAGTAGGTATAAATCTTAGCCATACCAATCATACATCATAGTGCACTATTTAATAACTTCTCACTGATCTGTATTATTTTTAGATTCTCCCTTTGATAATTGTTACCTGAAACAATGACATTGCTCAGCAAAGTTTTGGTGCCAATAACCATGTTTATAAATTTGAAAGTAAAATTGGTGAATGATTTAACAGAATAATGGCTATGGAGAGGTTTGCCTGTTCCTTTACTTTTACTTTTTGGGAAAAACTAAGAAATAGTTACAGTGCTTTTTAATTTTTGTTTTATTTAATTTCAGATTCTCTAACAAAATAATTCTTAAAGCTATCTGAAAATTTTTAATCTAATAAAATATTTCAAAAGCATTTCATTATCTTAAATTTGTCATTTTAATGAGAAATTGAAAAATGTTTATGAAATTTTCTGAAATAATGCATTTTTTAAAACTGCAGGAATTTGCTGCACTTACAAAAGAACTAAATGTATGCAGGGAACAACTGCTGGAAAAAGAAGAAGAAATTTCAGAATTGAAAGCTGAAAGGAATAATACAAGAGTAAGTAGAAAACTACTTACAGCATTAACAGAAGACTTTTATTAATAGAGCTGAAAAAATGTAACAATGGCTGTATTAGATCTGTATAGGTCTTGTCAGAGCAAACATCATATTCTAAGTTAATGCCATTGCATTCTTTTGTATTGTCTTTTTGAAAATTCAGATTTTTATATTTTTGAGATTAATTCTATTTCAGGTTTATCTTTTCGAGCCATTTTTAAAATAGGTTTTATTGAACAGTTTAAATATCACCTGACTTTTAATAGTTGCCCAGAGATTGCTCGTTTAGTTTTTGACCCAGGTATGAAATTGAATAGCTGACACCTGAACAATGATTGAGAAAATTATGGCTGTTTATCTCCTGACGTCCCAAGACCTTTTAGTGATTACTGATTATGAAACATTTTGAACTCATGAAGTGATGAGTCTTCCTAGATAATTCTTAAGAATTCCAACTGTTCATAGCAGATAAATTGCAGAAAATGCTAGTATACAATGGCTAGAAATCTTTCTATACCAGAAATCTTTCAAAAGCAGTGCTACAAAATTAACATGTCCCTCCTTTTTGTTCATTTGGTATTCAATATGTCAGAATTCTATATGAAATTTAGAATCAAATCATCATGAATAGGATTATGAGACATGTTCCATTTGTGGGAATAGCGACAATCACATCAAGATAAATAGATATCTTCTGTTCCAACAACTCAGCTATTAAGCAAATTGAACTATTTGAACATGAGAGAGGGAGAGAGATTGGGAAGATCCCTAGTTGCTTCAGTTCATTCAGATAAAGTTTTGTCATCTGGTGGCCTGTGCCTAACTTGTTTTATTTTTATTTTTGTTTGCCCCCCTCCCTGAACTAAGTGATTACTTAGACAAGCAATCTTCCTGAGCTGTTTTTCTATAGCTTAACATATCCCTAAAAAGTGCTAATGCCAAGCTCACTTACCTTAATTAGTTGATTAGAACCCTCCAGCTAGCTGGTACTGTTGTCTGAACTTAGCCATATCTTAATCAGTTTCTCACTAAAGACTTTTGTTGTCAGGTACACAAAATTTAGTCCTAAATGCGTACATTGGTCAGATTTTTTTTTTAATTTCCATTTATTACTATTGTATTTGTGAATGGTCGCTAAACAAGGGAGTTGCTAATTGAGGAATGGCTGTAATGGCTGATGTGCTTGATCAGCCGAAGGGAAACTCAGGTGCTAATCTTCCCATAGGAATGGAAGACATATGGATGACTTTGACTGTGAAGTCTATCTATCACCCTTCACTGGACCAGCATAGTAGATCATGATGCATTTCCATCAGTAAAGTGTCCTTCATTTTTGAGACTCCTGCTGATTTTGATTCTAGCTGATGCTTATTGGTTAAATATTAACATATTCATAATATACTTTCACCTCTATTTATATACTAATTTTTAAAAGTTTATTTCAATTCTGTCTCAATTGGCAATATATTCATATTATTAGATTTTTCTTCATTTATCACTCATGGTATTGTGATATAGTGAACTGGACTAGGATCAGAAAGACTCAGATTCAAGTCTCCATCAGCCATGGATGGTCCATGGTTGACTTTGGGAGAATCATTCTCTCTCAATCCAACCTACCCTCATAAGATGGTTATGAGGGAAAGTAGAAAGAAGACATGTCAGGTACATCACTTGAGCTCCTGCAGGAAAGATGGGGTATAAATCTAGAACATAGAATAATAGAGTTGGAAAGGGACCTCAGAGGACTTCTAATCCAATCCCTTGCTACAATCCCTATACCAGGGGTGTCAAATTCGCAGCCTGCAGGTCAGATGCATCATGTGCTGGCCACGCCCACCTCCGGTTTAGCGAAGGGGGAAAAGTCATGATACATCACATGACAACAGTGTGACATCATGAATTTGACAGCCATGCCCTACACTATTTCAGACAAATGATTGTCCAGTGATGGAGCACCCACAGCTTCTGAAGGCAAGCTATTCTACTTGCTCCCACTATTAGGAAATTTTTCTTAAATTCTAATTAATTTCTCCTTAGTTCTAAATTTCTCCTTAGTTCTAACTAATGAATAAATAAACAGCAAATGAAAATGAAGCATTTACTCTAAGAGTTCCAATAATTATTATGTACACTTTATTTCCTGCTACCTTGTCTACACAGAAGTCTGGGGGAAAAGTGTTATAAGGTTTCCAGTATTGGAAAACTTGCCACTTTTGTTATGATTTTGTTTTAGGCTTTAGAAATACAGTGTCTCTAAGCTTTAGGTACTAATGAGCTAACTTCTTCATGTTGAAACAGCTGTTACTGGAACATTTGGAGTGCCTTGTTTCAAGACATGAAAGGTCACTGAGAATGACAGTGGTGAAACGCCAAGCACAGTCTCCCTCGGGAGTTTCCAGTGAAGTTGAAGTTCTGAAAGCATTGAAATCTTTGTTTGAGCATCATAAGGCTTTAGATGAAAAGGTACAGTATGGACATAAATGTTTGCTTACTTTGCACATTCTCTCTTTGGTTCCCCCGGACTGAAAATCTGCTCCTCATCCTGGTGACATATGTGATGATGATGATCATTTCAGGATGTTGTTCCCCACCTAGTCTTTTTTGTTGTTCTTCTTGAAATAGCAACAGAGGGAAAAAAAAAAAAAACTAAATTCCAAAATGTTGTGCTGATCATGACAAACCTTTATATTGAACAGATGTGATGTGCCTTTTGGTAAAGTCAGTGCCAGACCATTCAGAAGAACTAGCTTTCTTGAGGATTTGTATATTCTCCGTTTTTTGTTTTCTGTCTCAAAGAGCAAACATTGAACTATTGGTACATTTTTATGACTTTTGAAGCTTATTTATTAATTCGCAGAGCAGATATCAGATTTCACCAGCATACAAGTGCCGAGTCTTTCAGATTATCAGAGGGGCATATATTTCTCTTTTAAAAGAAAGTTCATACTTTCCAACATTTTAGATGTTTGAAACATTTTTATTTTCATGATAATTATGAGGAAAAGAATTAAAATCCAACTTTTTTCTCCAGGATGTTAATATTGCATACATGAGGATCGGTGTTCCTTGTATTCCTCTGACAACAATCCTGTGAGATAGGCTGATTTGAGAAAGACTATGTCACCCTAAACTAAATTCCACTTAATTAAATATTACTTGAAGTGCTTCATTTTTCTGTATTAATTTACTTTGTTAAGAGCCTGCCTTCTCTTGACCTAAGATCAAAAGAGCTAATGAGAATATCAAGTTGTCAGTTTATTATCAACAATTCAAAATATATCTTCAATGGTTGCAGTAAATGAAATATCAGATTGTACATTGCATGGTGTTAGATTATTAGAGGACTAATAAACTATTGAGAATAATTTTGTTCCACCTTTGAAATCCTAGGAAACTTTTAAGTTTCCATGGTGATTAAATTTAATCTTGGTAGTCAGAATTTGCATAATACATTACTGCTGGAAATGGTCTTTGGAGGCCAATATTTTTTCATAATTTAATTTCACTTTGCAAAACCAGAGACCCTCCTCCCAAAGCCATTCACCATTAGAAAGATAGCAATGTAGTGTGTTGTTGTAGCATGTTAATGAATAAACCATTAGTCTGAACATTCAAGAAAGAATTTATTTTGGTAAATAAAAATTTCTCCCTCCCCCAACTATTCAGCATTCTTTTCAATAAGTGACAACCATTGCATCTTTGGTACATTGATTGCCTAGTTAATTCTACAGGTAGACTGGATTTAGCAGACTGAATTGCTTGATGCCCAATAATATGTCAAGCTACATAAGCACAAAGCTAAATTGATTTGTCATTATTTCACATAAATGTCAGTTAAATAAAATTCATAAAATTTGATAAGAAGCTCAATTTGCAATTTATAATTCTTTATAGAAAAGGATACTTTTCAGATTACAGAAATGAAATGCTTATTATTGTCCCAAGACAAAGCAAACAGTCTTTGGTCTTCATAGAAAAGCTAATATAATTTTTGTTGGATGAAAATGAAATGTCTATGTTTAGGAAGAAAGGATAAAAATGCATATTTAAAAAACTATTTTACTCATACTCTGTGACATTGATTTGGTTAAATTAATCTGATCTGGGCATGTGTAAGCCTCAGAGTTTAGCATTTTCCTCTCCACTTGCCTTTTCCAGCTTGATTGGAGATAGATCAGAAGCATTTGCTTGTATTTTGAACAACACTGTATTTACTTGATTGTAAGAACCGTGATGGTACAGTAGTTAGAATGCAGTATTGAAAGGTAATTCAATTCAAGGCCAGGAGTTTGATCCTCACCAGCTCAAGGTTGACTCAGCCTTCCATTCTTCTGAGGTTGGTAAAATGTAGACCCAGATTGTTGGAGACAATATGCTTACTCTGTAAACTGCTTAGAGAGGCCTGTAAATCACTATGGAATGGCTAAATGCTATTGCTATTACTGTATCTCAGCTGGGATTCCAGCTAGTTTTCTTTTCTGAACAAGTCAAACATCATTATCGAGTGCTGAAGTTGGTTTTTTTCCTGAGAAGTCATAGTGGAAGAGGAGAGAAGAGGGTGAACGTGCTTCAAAAAATGTTGGTATATTACTGGTGTGAACAATTCTAAGTCACAGGCCAAACCAAGCCTATTTTTCTAATCTTCAGAGCTTGTGTTCTGACCCACGCCCCTTTCCAACAAATCAAACACAATTCAAAAGGAACAGAAACCTTGTAATGCTTTTACCAAAATAAAATTAGCTGTGATAAGCACAAGCCTTGCCAAACTGGACGAGGCTTGCCAAAAGATAACAGACAAGAAATAATTTGCAATACAAAAATGTTCAAATACAAACTCAGGATACTAGAATGTCCACGAGGCTGTAGTTTCAAAATGTCTTTGCCTTCTGCAAAGAAGGTTTGTTTCACGGCTGGCTTTTATCTTCTTGAGGGAGGGGCCATTACCTTGCAGTCTTACTCCCAAGTTGCCCGTACTGTTGTAACTGCTCTTTCTTATGAGCAATCCTGCGCGCACGTGCACTTGGCATAGGCTCCTCGGGAGTCTCCTCATCACTGCTGCCCGCCCCCACAATCTCTGAAGGCAGCAGTTCACTCCTGGCCCCTCATCTGAGTCCTCGCTCTCCTCAGCTGTCTGCACCTGCTGCTGGCTACCCACAACAGCTTGTTCCAAATACAGCATTCCTCAAAAGTAATAATACAGGTTTTTTTTGGAGACAAATGAAAATTGTTCTATAAATCCTAAAATAGGCTTAAATTGTTTTGGTTTTTTTAAAGAAAAAGGAAATAATCCTACCAAATGTATGGAAGGAAAAAAAGAGAAACTTTTGGTTCTGCCTATTTGTGTGATGTGGACTGGTAACAGAATTGATTTTTTAAAAAAACTATAGCTTAAGGCACAAGGATATAGATTGATGGTCCACTAGAGTGGAAATCAACAGTCTTTCTATGTCTTGGTCATCTTTTGTTCTGCTTTTCCTCTAGGACCTCCTATTCACGTTCCTTTCTTCAATTTTATCATACAACAATACCTTTTATGGTTAGTTACAAAGAGTGTATCTCATCCAAAGATACAGAGTAGCCATTTTATTGTTAGCATGTTTTTTTATTATTTATGTCTTTACACTTATCACAGTCCTGCTTTTCCTTCTATTGGGAATAAGGTCTTCTAGAATACTAGCAGTATATTTGCAAAATCTACCTGGGAGGTAGAAATATAGATCAGTGGAAAGAGTTCCTATAGAAAGGATGTTCTACTGAAATAGTAAAATAAATTATAAATTGCAAAGTAAATTATTGAACATTTATTCTGGAGAAGAGGAAGATGGATAAAGAAGAAATAGAAATTTTAGAATGGCTATGTGATGAAGCTTCAGTGCTTAGGGTAACGAAGAATGACTTGGTTGAAATAGTTGTATCTTTACCTATAAGCTGCCCAGTGTGAAAGAGAAAAAAAGCAAGGGTTCATTAGATTAAAAGAAAATACAGGCAGTAAACATTTCCTAGCCAATGCTTCACTGGGCAATTATTTATCAGATGAGAAATCTATAGACCCACCATAGATGAAATGTAAGACTCTTGTTGCTAAGACTATTTTAATTGTTGATGGGGAAGGGTTGGTAATATCTAGATTCCATGTATATAGTGTCACTTTAATGATGGAATCTATAAACTGCAACATCAAAAATAAATTGTTACATAATATATGTTTTCTCCTAGGTCAGGGAACGATTAAGGGTTTCCTTAGAAAGAGTCTCAGCGCTTGAAGAGGAACTAGCAGCTGCTAATCAGGAGGTAAGAAAAAAAAATTGGTTAATTCTAAATGGGATCAAACATAAAAAAAAATATCTGGATTAAAATTATTTTAATTTGAACTTAATATATAAATGTAATTTATAATGTATAAATTAATTTATAGGAATACTTTTTTATTGAGGTCATCTTAAGTACAAGCAATTGTGCTATGGTATAAACTTTCTAGTGGGTGAAGTCTGACTAACAGTATGTTAGCTTGGAAAACTAAATGTTGACTTGAAAGTTTAGAGATTCTAGAGCAATGTGAGCATCACTGGAGTAAAATTTGGCTTTGATTGTTGGTATACAAGCTAGCATGTGTCAGAACAGATCAACGCTCCCCACATCATTGCAAAGAATGCTGCATGATTTCTATTGAGCAATGCCACAATGAGCATTGATGCCAATATTTGTAGACTTACCCATTGATGATAATTGCATATGGAAAATTGTGACTTAGAATGTAAGAATGTAAGTGATAAAAGAGTAAATAAATAAATGAAAGTATAGTATTGTTTAGGTTTAGATTTGAATAAACTGGCTTAAATGTATAGAATTACTTACAAACTCTCAAAGTATGAACTTCCACCAATATAAACAAACCTGTTTGCAACTCCAACCTAGAAGGTTCTGGAAGTTAGAAAAAGGCAGGAAAGGGTTAGTTTATGGTACGCTGCATACTATGCTTGGCAGCAATATCAACCAAACCTCCAGTTTCCATAGATTGGGTGGTCAAAAAAAAATGTTGAGCCACGCATCAGCCTGGGACCACTGAGAAAGACAGTCCAAATCTCTCATCTGAGAGGTTTGCAGTAGGAAAATAAGGCAGCGCAAGAATGGCTGTTAGGACCAGCATTTACCTCCTCCCTCTGCCTGTGGTCACATGGGGCAGTGGTGCCTGATTGCCTTGCCCATGGCCTTTCTCTAGTAAGGGTCACAATGGCCCATGGGACAATTGACCCAGCCTTGGAATAAGGGGCAAGAGAAAGCCAAGGCACTCACTACTATTCAGAGGGCTTAAGTTTTTACACTCGTTGGACTTGCAAACAAAACAGACTTACAAACAACATATTGGAATGTAACCCATTCATAAGAACAGCATTGAATGTATGTATCCATTGGTGTCCTCTAGATTATTCTGGGTGTGAAAGTAGAAACTCATTGGATAGTGGTAGTTACATGTTATGCTCCAGTAATAATGTTAATGGGAGAAATATAGATGAATTTGAAGAATAAACTGTGCAACATTCTGAATGAATGGAATTTCGAATATTAGATGACATAAATAGCTAGATGAAAGCATGATCAAACATACAGAAAAAAGTGATTGGGCCATTTAAAAATCCAGTAATGTATTAAAGCAGTATTTGTTGACCCTCTGCTTAGGATAAGGTCTGTTCTGAATAGGTGTTCAGTTTATGATTATCCATGTGTGCACATGGAAAAGGACAGAATAGTTAATTAAAAGAGGTAAAGAAAAAGCAACACATTTCAATAATTCTTGTAGGTTGTTCAAAATAATACAACAGATTACAGTGAGCAAAAAAAGCCCCATAAGGAATACTTGATGGTGACCTTAGAAGTGTCTTTAAATAATGCAAATGCCCTTGTATTTTTTATTGCAGATTATGTCATGTTCTTGAATTCAAATTATTTGTAATAAATGTTAGGTAGATTGATATAACTCTGAATATGAATTATAAATTAATGTATATTGGTCAAGATAATTTTATTTGACAGGGAAAATGGACTGAATAATAAGTAAGTGACAAGAAAAAATAGAGCAAGTAGATGAATCATGGCACCTTGGTAGGATGTTTACTGAACATGACTTTTTTTAAAAAAAATGGATCATCAAACAAATCCACTCAGAGTTTTTATTCAGATCATAAATGACCAGCTCAAATTACTTTGGATACATTATGTGAAGATCCAGCTCTTTTGAAAAGTCCATAATTCTGGGAAATATGGAAGGAAAGAAAAAAAAGAGGATGACCAGCAAAGTGAATGGACTCAATTATAGCAGCAATTGGTATATTGTTGAAATACCTAAAGAACTAGAGTAGAGGAAAAGACAATTTATCTGGACACTAGGTGACAATATTAGCTTGCTGCATATAACGATCAATCAAATGCTGGTAGATTGATGGGGAGAAGAATGTAGTTTGTTTTGAGGAATGAATGTTGAAAGTAGAATAATAGCATGCTTCTAGTCTATTTGTTGTATCGAAGTAAGAATGGGGTTTGTCAAGAGAGAAAGATAAATGCAAATTAAATGTATAATTCTGAATACTTAAGTCAATAAGGTAAATCAAGATGGAACAGGGTAAAATGAATGGGTTCAGTTGGTTTGATCATAAAGAGAATGAACAAGGATCAAATCACAGAACAAATATCTGAAGGAAGAATAAATTTATTAAGAGGAAGGGAGATCTGAAAGTGGTTAATGGATTGAACAAAATTCTGAAAAACAGATAGGTGAAAAGTTTAAAGAGCAGAAGCAAGCATAGTTTGCAAGAGTCAAAAAGTATAAGTATAGGGAATTGTATTGTCATGGATTGTATTTCTTTTCCCTTTCTCTTATTTTATGCCTTTAATTTCTTTTTTTATTATTTCTTATTCCTTTTCTGTACTTGGTATAATGTTGCTTACCTCAGAAGGAAACACCATAATGGTAATGTACTATGGCCCATAAACTATATTATACACTATAACTATGTGTATATTATATGTTTGCCATGAACTGAAGTACTCATGTGTCTTTATAACATTCAAAAGTCAAAAGAATAATTTTGACACTAATATTTTTTTAAAAAGTAAGTTGTGATGTTCAAAATTTTGTATATTTTCTGCAACATTACTCTCACCCGTGTACTAAACTATTGATTAGTTGCCCACCCAGATTCTGGGTAATGCAGCGAACTGGCATCAAGGCTGGGCAAGAAAGGACAACTGATGCAATTATAGGGTTTTAGACAGAGACTGAAAAGAGCTTCATAATTCCAGCACTGTGCTCAGAATTGGTCAGACAATAAAGAATTAATTGGTCTGCCCCAACAAGAAAAAAGTAAACTTTAGGGAGCTTAAAAATAAATCCTCCAAAAACCAGGCTTATTGATCATAATTCAAGATCATCTCCTTCACTTTTAAAAGAAAAAAGCAGTAACATGTAGGGATTTGCTTAGTTTGCCCATAGAATTGTCCTAGGATCAATGCAAGAAAGGTAACGCAGGAGGAATACTCTGTCTGAACATTAATTTTCACATGCAGCTTCTTTCTCTAAAGAGTCATTTTCTCAAATACTTCTTTGTTTCTGTAGGGAATAAAGCTGTAATAGCACTCATAGAAATCATCCAGGAGAATTTATCTTGCAGAAAATAGTGCCAATTGAATTTAATGCTAATTTATAAATTAAATTTATCAAGATTTGCAAAGCAGTTTCCCCAAAGACAATGTTCCTTTTCTAAAGCAGTTGCATAGAAAATTATTAATTTAAATTATGTAAATTATTTTACCCCATATATTAGTTAGGAAGGATTCTATTGAAACATTTTTTGAAACAGGACTTTTTCTTCAATGAGTTGAACCGTGAAGAAGTTTGTTCCAGAATGAGAATAGTATTGTCTTATGATGATCCAGTTATCCCTTGCAGACCATCCATGATGGATGGAGGTGGAACTGCATAGATTGGTGATCTTCTGGATTCACTTAGCTAGGATGTCTGTTATGAGACCTAACTCTCATGATTGACTGCTGGCCTTTGACCCTGTGTGATTATTTATGTTGTGGACATCTCTCTTTTATAACTAATTTTTGGAGTTAGAAAATCAGCTCCATATTAGACAGAAGGCAGAAGTTTTCTAGAAAACCAATATTTCCATTGGTATACAAACTTGTGATTTACTAAATGATTTAGCAGTGAGAGGTGGGGTAGTCCAGTGGTTTCATTCATTTATCTCAGAAGGAAAACAAATTATCCATCGATGAACATGACAAAGATTTTTCTACCATTAATTTTATTGTTTTTAAAACAAATAGTAGTATTAAAATTACTAATAATATTTAAGCTTCAATTCCATTTTACTATCAAGGCTCTAAGAACCACTAATTGATTTTTTTCTAGAGAATATTATTCTAGACTATGCCAAGATAAACATTTTTGAAAATGATTTAAATGTTTCAGAAGATGAGATTGTAAAGCAAAGGTAGGAAAGCTTTGGCCCTTCAGTTGTTGGACTGAATTCCTATGATCCCTGATATTTGTAATTCTGTTAGAGCTGATAGGTTTTGTAACCTAACAAAATCTGAAGGTGTACAGATTCTTCCATTGTTTGACAATTATTCTCCTCTTTCTCCTTGCTTGTATGTGTGTGTGAGACAGAGAGAGACAGAGACAGAGAGCATAGTTTGGGATTTAGCAATCCATATACCAAGTGGTAGGAAGTTTCATTATGACTTCTTTTCTTCTATAATATGAATGTTGCATGAAATTATTCCCTTAGCATATGATTGAGTAACTGTTTGATCAGGCTATTCTAATTGTTTATCAGTTTTGATGAAAAACTAAATTAATCATTCTCTTATTAGAAGCCCAAAATTACTTTAAAATTTCTGGTAAAAGTGTCATATTAATGTGGAAAAATCCCTGATTCTTGGGTCTGAACAGATGGATGTTGTCTGGTTTATATATCCTGTATATAAGACCACCTAGAGATAGGCCAGGTGGCCTTATGCTTTGTATGCTTCAGTTATCACAATTGACTTATCCATTGGTCAAAAAGGCATATTTTTTATAATAGTTTGTTTAAAAATTTGAGGATCAGATTATCTTTTGGGGCCTTATCTACAAGTATATTTAGGATGTATGGATACTTACATACATATAAAAATATTACTGCATATACATGTGAATAAACTCTTCCATGGATCAGCTGAACCCAATTTGGGGGAAGTATTTTGTCCCCTAAAATTTTGAGCTAGCTGCAAACATATATATTATA